TGGTAAAAAAAGCAACGGGGGCCTTGAACAAGTGCCACAGTCGGACAGGCCCGGAACGGAAGCTTGCTTTGCCGGAGAGGCCCTGGATCGGTGAGCATGCGATGCAAGATGCCGGGATGCTTGTTTCGCAGAGTCGCAACCATATGCATCCATATGCATGCTGAGGCGCACAGAGTAGTTCAGTCAAGGTTACGGAAGTTCTGACCTTTTGCAGGCACTTGCAGGATTCAGCCCCAGCAGCTGTGGCACTCCTCCTCGTGATGCCCAGCTGCTCTTTTGCAAGTTTCGCTGGGCTGTGGATTGAAGGTTGTATTCGACAGTGCAGTCTCCACAGGCGGATGCATTCTGGGATTGTTTGGTTTTGGGAGACTTCGCCCTACTTTTTTCGTTGCCAACTTGTTCGGATTAGAAGGCCTCGGTGACTGTTCTGCAGTGCTCGTCCCCGGATCGATTCATTGTTGCCAGGGCCTCTCGCTTGAGAGGTTTCGATGGAATACCCAGAACCCTGTTGCGCTGTTGAGGTGTTGCCTCTGCTAGCCGTCTCGTGGCAGACTGGAACATCCCGCAGCGTGCAGGGGTGCAGATGGAGGTCGAGGCGCGTTGGCTGGGTGAATATTGGCTTGACTAAGGTGACCAAGCCTAGTGAGGCCTCGAGGTGCTGTGGTGTTGGGTTACGGTGAGAGAATGTGAGCGTATTGGAGTTGGACTGTCTATTTCTTTTTTTTCTGTGCACATCTGATTGTCGAAGGGTGAGGGGGGGGGGGGGGGGGGGCTGCGGGGGGGGCTGGGGAGTGTGGGTCGGGCTACCCAAATAAAGGGGTGCAAACCTGCCGTGCCGGGAGGTGCCTGCTTTCTGGTACCCATACCTCTGCAGCCCGAGGCCTCGGCAGACGTGTTGTCAAACACGGGCGCAGCTGATGCTCGCAGCTGAAGCTCATGATGCCATGATGCTCGTGTTTGGGGCAATCAGGCCACCAGCATCATGAGCGTCAGCTGGTGCTGGCGCGGGTTCTCAGGCCCAAAGCCCGAGCATCATGAGCATCACTGGTTATGGCCCGGGCTTTCGAACCCAAACCCCCGAGCATCAAGCATCAGCTTGTGCGGGCCCGACCTTTCAGCAAACCCCCGAGCATCATGAGCATCAGCTGGTGCTTGGCTCTGGCTTTCAAACCCAAGCCCCCGGGAGCGTAAGCATCAGTTGGTGCTGACCCGGCTTTCTAACTCAAATCTCCGAGCATCATGAGCATCAGCCACCCAGGCCCCTGAGCATTCAAAGCCAAGGCGGGCGCATCATGAGCATCAGCTGCTTACGCCCTTAGCATTAAAGGTCAAGTGGCAAACATCATGATCATCAGCTGCCCCGAACAGGCGAGCATCATGAGCATCAGCCGCCCAGGCCCCTGACAGCATCATGAGCATCAGCTGCCCAGGCCCTCAGCATAAACGGCCAGGTGGACAAACATCATGAGCACTAACTTGGCGGGCGAACATCAGAGCATCAGCCACCCAGGCCCCGAGCATTCAAAGCCAAGGCGGGCGCATCACGAGCATCAGCTGCTTAGGCCCTCAGCATGAAAGGCCAAGTGGGCAAACATCATGAGCACTAATTGGGCGGGCGACCATCATGAGCATCACACCCAGGCCCCTGAGCATTCAAAGCAAAGGCGGCGCATCACGAGCATCAGCTGCTTAGGCCCTCGGCACTGAAGGCCAAGTGGGCAAACATCATGAGCATCAGCTGCCCCGAACAGGCGAGCATCATGAGCATCAGCCGCCCAGGCCCCTGAGAGCATCCTGAGCATCAGCTGCCCAGGCCCTCAGCTTTCAAGGTCAAGTGGGCGAACACCATGAGCATCAGCTGCCCCGGGCGGGCGAGCATCATGAGCATCAGCTGCCCAGGCCCCTGAGCATTCAAAGCCAAGGCGGGCGCATCATGAGCATCAGCTGCTTACGCCCTCAGCATTAAAGGTCAAGTGGGCAAAAATCATGAGCATCAGCTGCCCCGAACAGGCGAGCATCATGAGCATCAGCCGCGCAGGCCCCTGACAGCATCATGAGCATCAGCTGCCCAGGCCCTCAGCTTTAAAGGTCAAGTGGGCGAACATCATGAGCATCAGCTGCCCCGGCGGGCGAGCATCATGAGCATCAGCCGCCCAGGCCCCTAAGCATTCAAAGCCAAGGCGGGCGCATCACGAGCATCAGCTGCTTAGGCCCTCAGCATTACAGGTCAAGTGGGCAAACATCATGAGCATCAGCTGCCCCGGCCAGGCGAGCATCATGAGCATCAGCCGCCCAGGCCCCTGAGCATTCAAACATCACGAGCATCAGCTGCTTAGGCCCTCGGCACTGAAGGCCAAGTGGGCAAACATCATGAGCATCAGCTGCCCCGAACAGGCGAGCATCATGAGCATCAGCCGCCCAGGCCCCTGAGAGCATCCTGAGCATCAGCTGCCCAGGCCCTCAGCTTTCAAGGTCAAGTGGGCGAACACCATGAGCATCAGCTGCCCCGGGCGGGCGAGCATCATGAGCATCAGCTGCCCAGGCCCCTGAGCATTCAAAGCCAAGGCGGGCGCATCATGAGCATCAGCTGCTTACGCCCTCAGCATTACAGGTCAAGTGGGCAAAAATCATGAGCATCAGCTGCCCCGAACAGGCGAGCATCATGAGCATCAGCCGCCCAGGCCCCTGACAGCATCATGAGCATCAGCTGCCCAGGCCCTCAGCTTTAAAGGTCAAGTGGGCGAACACCATGAGCATCAGCTGCCCCGGGCGGGCGAGCATCATGAGCATCAGCTGCCCAGCCCCTGAGCATTCAAAGCCAAGGCGGGCGCATCACGAGCATCAGCTGCTTAGGCCCTCAGCAGTAAAGGCCAAGTGGGCAAACATCATGAGCACTAATTGGGCGGGCGAGCATCATGAGCATCAGCTGCCCAGGACCTCAGCTGTTGGGTCGCCCTTGAAGCAATCATGCCAACACAGGAGGCAGCTGATGCTCATGATGCTCGCTGCTGGATCGCCATTGAGACAATGAGGCCAACACGGGAGCAGCTGATGCTGATGATGCTCACAGCTGATGTTCACACCTGATGCTCAGCCGCTGATGCTCACAGCTGATGCTCAGCCGCTGATGCTCATGATGCTCGCTGTTCGGTCGCCTTTGAGGCACTCGCTGTTGGTCGCTTCTGATTGCGTGGGAATAGCTGATGCTCATGATGCTCACAGCTGGTGCTCATGATGCAACCCAATTGCGAGCATCATGAGCACCAGCTGCTCCCGTGTTGGCCGGTGTTAGCCTGGTTGCCTCAAAGGGCGACCCAACAGCGAAGATCACGAGCATCAGCGGTGAGCGGATGTTGTGCGCTTCAACTTGCTGGAATGTTTAGAGGGCTTTTGTGGATGGTTGCTGAAATCCCCCTTATTGCCCTGAGCAGATCTCAGCCGCCGTTCATGATGTGTGCCCTCGGAAGGCAATGCCAGATGTCCACGCTGGAGCCGTGCTCCTTGGAGATGGCGTCTGTATAAACCCCTTCGTAGACAGACTTTACGTCGCTTAAGCGACAGTTCCTACTTTGCTGATTTCTATTTTACAGGTTGTTTTTTGTCTCATAGGTTGTTTGTTGTTTCATGGTCCTATGGTCCTTAGCCACGCAAGGCTTTCAGTTCCCGGCCAGGCTGCTTGACGGGGCGAGGGGCAGGAGCACTGTCAGCTATCGAGTCCACAAATTACGATGTCACGGATGATCCCAGCCAAGCTTTAAGGGCCATTCAGGGTGCCATGACGGTGCATTGCTTGAAACGATACATTGAGGCCCTACCCTGAGCATTTGACAATGCCAAATCTAAATCCAGACTGGACAACGATGGTAAGAAGTCATGCCCTTGCAGTGTTTGAGTTGTGCTTCACATACCACGCCCTGAACGCGACTCCACAGCTGAGGCTCAGAATCAGGGGAACCCCAGTCGCGACGGCGCTTGCTTGTGCCTCTGGCAATCATTCAAAGCCTGGGCCTGCCTTGCCAAACAGGGCTGCCTTGTAGATAACCGAAGCCGAACCCTTTCTTGGATTTATGGGGAGGTCTACGAAAAGGTCCCGCAATTTTGCACCTATCGTGCCAAGATGCCCGAAATGCCTGCCAGAGGCGTCCTGCTGCAGAAAGCTCAGTGGCTGCAAGCGGCTGGAGAAATTGCGAGGAAAAAGACGCCCTACTTGGCCCTGCTTGGATTTGGGAAGAGGCTCAGAAGTGGCAAGCTTTCACCAAGATTGCGCCAAGTTTTCACATGTCTACATCTTTGCGGTATTTTGTGGGCACCTTTCGGCCCAACACCAAATGGTTTGGGAACCTGCGCACTTGAGGTCTTGTTCGCTGTGTGGAGCCTCGGAACACTTAACTCAGGCCGTCTCTCGGTCCCATCTTCGCTGCATCTTCATTGAATCATGTGTCCTGGCACAAACCCTGCCCAAGTCAAGTAATGGGATGCAGCAGCTCAGTCAGAACTTCAGCCGCAGACAGCCACATCACACAAGGGACAAGACATTTGCCTGTAAGGTGAATGTGGAGTTTCCTTTGAGTACCCAAAGACATGCCAAGGAAAGTGTATCAATAGCATCACAGGCAACAAGCGCAACGGGGAAGATGTTGAACTCCTGCGAAGGGCTCTTAGGCGGTATGCTGAAGTCAAAGGTCTTTTCAGAAGTGAGTTCAGGAGTTCTTGACAGTTATAGTTATGTAGTCGATAGCCCGTGTGACAGCTATCACCCCAAATCCATGTGGACTGCTTCCTGCGAGCGCGCTCGCAGGATGTGGCACGAAAGCAGATCCTGACAGCTCTCGAGGCATCAGCCCTCAACTTTTCTGCGGTGTAGAGGACGCAAAGACGCGCGCTGCATCAGCAACGCCAGTACTGAGCTTCAGGCCGATAGCCAGCATGCCACTGAACTCTTTCATTCCCGTAGCCTCCTTGGCACTAGTTGCACCTGTGGCGTGCTAGCCTGACTGGTCATGGCAGCCACACCGTGGGAAGAGCAGGGCGATTCGAATGAGGACGACACTGAATCCCGTGTCTCCGAGCAGTTGAGCACCAAGCTCCACCCAAGTCTTCTCCGAGGTGTCCCGTTGCATGCCACCCTGGCTGGCTGGGGTCAGCACTGGGCCAACCCCGACAACGGGATGTTCACCATCGAGAAGCAGCCCAGCTATGAGCTGAGCCGTCCAGTAGAGAGCCTGGATGCCTTCCTCAGCCATGACTGGGCCTCGAGCAGAATCCTGAAGCTGCTGTCCCTGCTCATCGTCTACAACTCCCGTGCAGCATTTCTCAGCACATTGGTGGTCAGCATCCTGCTAGGTCTGCTGCGTGGGTACTGGCAGAACCTAGCAACTGCAGGCTGGACGGTGGCCTTTGGTCATGGCACCTTTGTCTTTGTCTTCCTCTTTTGGCAGTGGCTGCAGAGGCCCTTCCAGCGGCCACGCATGGTCTTTCTGGATAAGCTGTGCGTGGCACAGCATGATGCTGAGCAACCTGCTTCATGTCCAGAAGTGCATGTACCATCACATAGCGGCAACGCTTGATCAGGCGAAGGGATGTCTTGCATAACCCAAAACGAAACCCTTCATGCTTTCGAGCAATCTGCTGAACGATCACCGAGGAAGAAGAAACAGGGGATCATGGCAATGGCTGCCTTCCTGTTGAGCTCCAAGAAGCTCGTGGTCCTCCTGACGCCGAGGCCTCTTGTCGTAAGGGGCGTCACGATGAAAGAAAGGGAGCATCATGAGCATCAGCGGCCTCCCCCCAGGCCTCCGAAAACTCCCTAAACTAGCCGATTCTATGTGCTTGAACGGTTTCACGCCCACGAAACATCGAAAAGCCACACCCCGAATGCCCTTGAGGGTATTCAGGGTATTGCTTTTCGGGTGTTGTGGGCATGAAGGCGTTCAAAAACGTAGAATTTTCTTTGAAGAATCTTCTTGGGTTTAGGGCTGGTGATAACCCTTTTAGTGTTCAGGGTCTGTAGGGTTCTTCCTTCTGAGGTTAGGAAAGTTTCTTCGGGTGTTAAGAACTCAGAGTTTTGTAGGTTGTTTTTAGTGTTTTTCTACGCAGCTTAAGATGTCAAGTTTAGGAGTTTAGGGTTTCGTGTTCAAGTTGTTGAGCCTTTGGAGGTTCGTGTCTTTTCGGGTGGTCAGGGCACACAGTCGAAGGTACTGTCACGCATACACACACACACAAGTCTGACGTCGTTTTTTGTCTACCACAACAACGACGAAGGTACTGTCAGCGCTTGTGGTGTGCGTTCGAGCTAGCCACTTTTATGAAGGAACCGAAAAGGCGGCAGCACATCCTCTTCATGCCTCTCAAAACTGCAGCGTTGCTTGGTTTAGCCTCTGGATGTTGGTTTACCCTGGTCATTGGCTGGTATGCTTTGAATTACTCTGTCTTCACGAAACAAGGACCGAGTGAATTGCAACTTGTGACCCTTTCACGGTGAGTGTTAAGAGTGTCAAGGCTCAGCATTGCCGGTGGGGAGTCGAGTGCTTTGTGCTTGCCCTCAGCCACAGGACTCCTCAAATTGCCTGGTGAGAGGCTGCGTGCTGGGATATGGCTGGCATTCTTGATGCTGTGCTTGGCCAGCACAGTGCTGCCGCTGGTCTTCTACCTAGGCAGCCCGGCTCAGCATGGAAGTTGTTTGCATGTGACTGCGATGACGATAGTTTGATATAGTTTGATGTGAGGCGTGTTAGGGGCTGGTTGTGAGTACAGTAATGTTGGAATCAAGGCAACGCCATGATGCCAACAGCGTTTTTACATGAACGTTCTGCATGATGTAGTTGTAGCTCTCGCATAGTGGTCTAAATTGTAGGTCTGAGCCCTGGCAAGGTATTGGAATGGTGGCTGACATGGATGACGTTCTTCGACAGCTCGCAGATTTCAAGATGCAGGACGCTGCGGCATACTAAAATTGAGAATAGTATTCGATCGTAACTTCAATGAAAGAAAAATATCAGGCTTGGATTGAACACATATGTTTGCTACCCCCCGCCCCCCCTCTCAGCGACCTACCCTTTTTAAGCCTTTTTAACAAAAAGGAGCAACGAAGGCCCAAAAGTCGCGTAGTTAATCACCGGGTAATGAAGGACAGTTATTGGGACACCCACCTCACAGACCCCGATAAGCCAGCAATTGGATTAATCTACATCTTGAATCTGAAGCCGACAATGCTGTTTTTACATGTTTAGATCTGTGGTTTTGCTATGCAAATTGTGCGTGTAAAGGGCAATTAATGTTCATGAAACATTTTTTATTTTTGAAATAATCATTCTATGCGAATCTAACTACTAGAGTAGTTATTAAGCAAATAGCCCAATTTGACTCAAGTGAATACTATTTAAAGGACCATGCTCAACCAAAATGCGAAATAAGCACCATAATCAACCAAAATATGGCAAAAATATTGTTTAAAGGGCAAATAATGTTTTGTTGAGCAATGTATTTATACAGTTGTGTTCGTACTAGGCAAAGTATTATTGAAATACTATCTGAAAAGTCCACTCAAATACCTTATGTTTATATATTCATGAAACATTGTTTTAGTTCTGCAAGAATCATTCTATGCGAATTTAACTACTAGAGTAAGTATCAAGCAAATAGCCCAATTTGACTCAAATGAAGACTCTTTAAAGGACCATACTCAACCAAAATGCGAAATAGACACTAACGGAAATGGAAGCGGTTCTACTTACATAACATGAAGCAAGGATATCTGAAGCATTCAATAAAGACCACTTCTATACTATGTCTTAAAAGCACAATTTGCATAAGCAAGCTTAAAAATGCACAATAACAGAAATAGAAGCGGTTCTACTTGCACAACGGTGAAACGAAGATTTCTGAAGTATTCAATAAAGACCACTTATATACTATGTTTGACAAGCACAACTTGCACAAGCAGGCTAAAAAAGGCACAAGAATCTTAGAAAAGTACTTAGTGAAAGCCATACACCAGCAAATTCACAAATACAAAAAAACATCCAAAAGCGCAAGCTTTTCAGGAGAATCTCTGGTGAAGTTTGGATTGTAGGGTTTTGGAGTATCCCTGGACGAGTAGGAGTCACTTCTTAAGCAAACAATTCTAAGCAATAAATGTTTTTTCTCAAGACAAGTATTGCAAATACAGAAATCTGGATAATTATTGCTTTTACTAGGCAAACATTATCCATGCGAATTTAGCTACCAGAGCACCAAGCAATGGCTGAATAAGGTCTACTACACTTGAGTACAAGCAGAAGATGCACTAAACACTAGTTGAAAAAGAAGCGAAGCGTTTCTACTCACTTTGTAACGAAACAAATAATTCTTATGCACTAAAAAGACCACTTGTATATTATTTCTGACAAGCACAATTAGCACAAGCACACTTAAGAATGCGTAGTTGTTGCCTCGTGAAGGCGAACCAAAAAGCCAAAATTCCAAAACCAAAAAAACCCAAGAAAACCAAAAAAAGCAATTTTCCGGAACTCTTGGAGAAGCCTCATAGGGACTCCTGAGAGTTCCGGATTTGTTTTTTTTTTTTGGTTTTTTGTTTTTTATGGTTTTGGTTTTTGTGGTTTTTTGTTTTGGTATTTTTGGTTTTTTTACTTGTCCCGTGCATGCGGATTTTGGTTGTATTTTAGTTTACGCCCTAGGAAATACGCTATATTGCACACGGAGTTTGCTTGCAGTGCAGCTGGGTGACTTGGGACAAGGCGAAAAAGGGTAGGTCACTTGGGGGGGGGGGGGGGGTACCCTTTGTTTCTGTCACAAGATGCGCAGTGACCAACCAGCGGTTAGATCCTATGCAGCCGAGTCAAAGGATGCTGAGTGCTTCTGCTGTTCTCATGGCCATCGGCATCCCACCACAAGCGCGCAGCTGCCATGCGACAAGCGGCTGGTGCACAAGATGCTGAAAGAATGGTATGGTGAACAAGGTGAACACGGCGACGGCGCGATTGATTGCAGCGATTGCATGTACTTGGAGAGATTCAATCACGTGATCCGAGAAGACTTGGCCCCGCAAGTGGCATCTCTTGTGGGTGGCTTTGCACTTCCCTCAAACTATACATTGTACATGGTCGCTGTGAGCGCCATACCTTACCTAGCAGACCATATTGCGGTTTTCGTCGTCTCTCTGCGCGCCGGCACTCCCAGCGGCTATGCCTTGTTTACCTGGACCTTGCGAGAGGCATCGCGTTGGGGGGTAGTGGCTGTGGCTAGCATGTTGTCTGTAAGACTCTCCTTGCCGCTTTGGAAAGTCTGTCTCCGATTCTGCCAGAACGGCTCGAAGAGCCGCAGGTGGTGTGTCGCCCTCCTTGCGGCCTGTGTGGTTTTCTTATTCGTTGCTGTGGTTTGGGGCTCAGTATTATTCTCCTTAGCGCACACAAATGCGACGAATCTGTTGCCAGTAGTGCTGTTTTCGGGCTGGCTCGCCTTAGCTTGTGTGCTCCACACGAGCTGTTTATCGAGCCTGCTTAGAGCTTTGGGTATCATGCATCTGCGAGCAGGGGAAGCGCAGCCTTGCACCGAAACCTTCAGTGTGTGAGCGGTTTGTCCCGCCAATCAATCTTCAATTATCCACGCTGTACAGCCAGCATATAGCCCATGTCCAGACTGGTGTTGCCAGAAAGATCCAAAAGATCTAGAGCGCCATGTCTCAATTGTTTCACGGTATCTCGGAGACGCTGGATCTTTTAAGGGTTCAGGGCACCCTTTTGCAAAGTTGTCAGTAAAATAGGTCGCCCGCCAGCCCTAGCCAACGGGGCAAGTACGGGATCAAACGGACCTCACGCTTGCAAAATCCCCAAACACGGCTTAGCCTGCAAGCCCTGATCCCTACTTTCAGTTTCTGAGAACTCTTCAAGTATACATGTTCAGACATGTTCAGCACTTCGCCGAGTGCCATCAGCAAATGCTGAGAGTGTTGGGAACTGTGGTGGCATTTTTTCGTTGGCTCGCCCAGAACAGTTCTTGCAAGACCTCCTCGATGGAGAGCGCCGCAAAAAAGGAGCTCATTGAGTAGCTGAACACCTTATCCTTCACCTCTCCGGAACCCTTCTTTCATCTAGTGCGAGCACTCAGAGCATTCAGGCTTCGGGAGTCAGGTTGGTGCTTAGAAGAGCGAACCCAACTCTCCGTCATCCCCTCAGCTCCGACCTTCAACCACCTTCAACCTGAAGGGGTCCAAATTTTTGCATTTTTGATGAAGCGCCTACCGCCTACGAACGCCTTCGCGCCTCACGCAGAGCTCCATGCAGGCTGGGCCGAAGCGCATACGGCCCAAAACCCGCGAAGAGCTCAGGCCCGAGTTCAGTTTTGAGTCGGACTTGGGGGAAGAGCCATGAACGAATCTGAATTGTTTTGAGTGAAAATCTTAGTTGTTCTTTTGGTTCCCTGTTCTGTAAGGTTCGCCGGCCTTCGGCCTTGCCCGGGTTTCACTGGCCTTTGCAGGTGGCGCCTTGAGGATCTGCGCGAGGAGCTGGCGAAGTTGCGGGACGTGGACCAGAAGGCTCCCATTTGAAGCCGCGGGGCCGTTTCCGCGGAGACAGATCCGACGTGGGCGTTGGAGTTTCCAAAGTCTAGATCGCCACAACATGCGAGCGTCCGCGAAAGATCCGCGAACAAGTGTGCGAAAGGAACGTATTTGTTGGCGAGATCGTTCACGAAACTCAACATCGGGCGCCTTTCAGGAAAGCCGTGTTTCGGGAATCAAAATGTAGCGCAAGACTGGCGATAGCTCTTCCTGAGCCTTTCACCCCCCCCCCCCGCCCCCCGAACTTAATCTTGCAAAGCCTCAGCTGAATTTGACACCACCCTTCCTCAAACCTAAGCTGAGCATTCACATAGACGCGAGCTCTATTAGACACGAAAAAGTTCCGAGAAAGGAAATCAGTTACACGTTATGAAAGATGCATTCCCGAGACAAAGCAATCTAGATCAACGGCCACATCAGACTCTCTGAATCAATGGGCTTTGGGGCCCGTTCTTTTCCACAACTGATTTGCTCTTTTCTGAACGCATGCATCCTGCTCCAAATGTCGGCTCTTAGGCACCCCTCGGGGCAACACTTCAGCCTCAGACACGCGCCCATGTGACCCCATGTGACCCCATGTGACTCGTTTTGGAGGTAAATCGGACTGCCTGACCGTAGTCAGACCGTCACTTGTCAGTCTTTTCAGCTGCGCGCAACATTTTCAGGCTCTGTCCAGGGCTCAGGTGGTTGCAGCGACTGGGCCTGTTGAGGTTTGCACCCCACTGGAGAAGGCTCTGAGTTGGCTTTGTATTTGGTCCTTTTGTAGGCTTCAAATGGCACGTGGAGACATCGTAGAATCTACTGTATAGAGCTATGGCTGCCTCCAAGTCCCTGGGATCCTGTGCCAGTCGAAGAGCTCTGCGGTTGCACAACCGACGGCGACAGGCTGGCGAATGGCTTCTGTTCACAAGTTGCATTTTTGCTGGGTACTCGAGGGTGCAGGGATCCTGTGCAATCACTGAGGAGATTTCCAGTACTGGGCTACAGGACTATGAGAGAGGAGCTGCTTTTACAAGCGACCTCATGTTGAAAGGCGCGAGCGAGAACCTTTCCGAAGAGATTGCAGTGCAAAAGGCAGCGATCCAGGTGGAATCAGCGGGCTTTAGCCTGAAGAACCCTGCTACATTTTCGAGAAGATGCATGTAGTGGTCGGGTGTTTGCCATCCATGTTCAGATGTTCGTGCGAAACTTGGCTTAGTGCGGGCAAATTGTGGAACTGGACGCCAGGAGTGGAAGGAACGCGTTGCAGTCCTGGAGCAGCAGAACGCAGGGCTCCAGGTGAGCAGAGGGCAAGGGCCGGTTTCTCTTTGCCCTACGGAAATGCCCCAAACCTAAGCTGACCTTAACCTCCTCGAAAACCAAGGGGCAACTGGGACCACGGCGTGGTACAAAGAAGGGACATGTGCGTTGTGTCGATCTCGAAGGGCCCACGTCGAAAGGCGAAGTCACCCTGAACTTCGGCATCCGGCAAAAACGAAGCCCCAAAGACCAGCCTGAAACGAAGTGTTCAAGGTGGCCGTCGCCAGCGCAGAGCACCTCCTCCACCGGGGCCGCGAGCGCCTCGACGCGGCAAAAGAGCCGCCCGGGCCTTGGATCTCCGCAGGGTCAGGGGGTTTTCGGGCTGAGGACTCTGGCCTCTAGACTCTAGATGTGCACAGCACTTAACCCTGAACTCCGCAGGGGGAACTAGGCGCAGGATTGGGTTCATCACAGCTCCTTTTCGGCAGTTCGAAGCCGAGACTCGCGCGTTCGGAACAGGCTTGGGTCATGTTGTGTCGAATATGCACAAGATGGATGCCATCTAATGTCCTCGATGTGGTGGCGATGTGGCACTAGCATACAGAGCCATAATATGGTGCTTGATTACCGATCCTCGGTACCCTTATTTTATTGAGAGCTCTTCGAGTCTTGATCAACCCATACAAGCCACGTTGGCAGGTGGCAGGCGTCGGAGAGCCAAAGTGCTCACATCCCCATCGGTGTGGTGAAGGCGGTCCAAACCTGCCTGGTTACCTAGCTGTACGAATGCTGTACGACTGCTGCACAACTGCTTGATGTCTCGGTGAAGTTGCCGAAGGAGCAGCTGCTGGCCAAGGAAAAGGTGCGCCGGGTCACTGCGATGATGTTTCTTTAAGTGAAAGAACCTGGCATCATGTGGCATCCATGCAATGCCAAGTGTCCCTTTGCGTCTTGCCGCCCGTGATCATCACGTGCACTTGCGCAGGACTTCGCTACGCTGCACAAGGAGCGCATGTCCCTCGAAGCGAGACTTGGTCCTCAATTTTGATTTCCAGGCTCTTGGTTTTTGGATCTGGGGCCCTGCTTAAGATTGTCGAAACCATTTGAAAGCTCAGAGCCCAGGATCCAGGGTCCCAGATTTTGGAGTCCTAGGAACCTGCTGGATCTTGGATGAACTCTGTTGGTCCAGGAATCCAGAGCCAAGAATGAAGAGTTCTTCAAAGCTTGATGATGAAGAAATAAGACACTAAACAAAGACCTCGATCCGAGATCCGAGAGCTCTGGGAATCTGGGTTCTTGGTTTCCGCGGGCTTTAGGGGCCTCGGGTACCTTAACCACCTTGTCCTAACAACCCCAAGCATGTCACCTTGCCCGGGACATGTTGCGTCAGGCCGAAGCCTTTAAACCCACAAAATCTTGGCAGCAATTGAGGATTTTGGGAGCCTGTCCATGTGCCTTGAGCCAGCAAGGAAGCTGCTTGAGCAGAGCCAGGAAGCACAAGAGCGCCACGAGGACGGGGCCCGGCGGTTTGTCTGCTTTTCCCAACTCCTGGAACAGTAATACAGTTTTTCTCTCAGTTTTTCAGAAGCGTTTCAGCATTTCCCCGGAGCCTGCACGAAGTTCTGTTGTGCCTAGACGTCGTGCTTCCAGATGGCGTTGACAGTGTGTTGCAGAGGCTGAGAACCTGCCGCTTCCGAAGTTCTTGGCATTGTTCCGGTGGAAGCAAGGGATCACCAAAAGCAGCCAGAAAAAACATCGAAGCTTTCTCAACCCCTCAAGACCCCAAATTGCCTGAAGCCTGGCTCGCCTCGGCGGGTCACCTCGTGCTTTCCCGTTCCTGGCTCGACTCAGCGGCATCAGAGGGCCGCGTAGTGAAAGCAAAACACTGTGTGTTCGCACATCACAGGAAAGCACGAATCATAGAATCTCTGTAGAACTCACTGATCGTTCTGTAACGCTGCAAATGGGAGATGGATGCAAGTACTGAGCACATAAGCTGTCATTGTTGCAGTCGTCTGTGGAGCTCAGTTCATCATTCAACAGTAGCTCGTGAATCTTGAGGGTATCCTTTCCTGGTCATTGTCATGAGCCATGGGTTGCGCCCTTGCTCGCAAGAAGCTTGCCCTAAACTCCTAAACCAAGAGTCAAACTTGACCCACAAACCTCTGGATGTTGCCGCTGAAACGCCTCACGCTCTCCAGCCCCTGCACAAGATCTTTCCCCAAGTCTTGCCAGCCATTCAGGCTTGAAAAGTAGGAGATGTAGAAGACGTCTAAGATGCCAGCTACTGCTGTGCGACGAGTTTCGAGTTCCTGTGCCAGGTGCAAGCAGCACTGCGACTGTGCAGACGGATGCCCATCAGGTAATCAGCGCTTCCGCCCTTTCCGGCGGGCAGCTTCATGGCGATTGGTTCTTTGCACCGGAGAGCCCATATGAATGCCTTCACGCATCGTACCTTACATTCTCGCACGATTGTTCTATCGTTTTGACCTACTCGGCCTACCGCTTGCTGGCCCGCTCCTCAAATCGCAAACCAAACCCAGCAGACAACAGCAGCTGATCAACGGCAGATCAAGCGGGCCCAAAGTGTCAAGATGCAGCACACTCATCAACCTGCTACAGTTCAAATCCCAACGAAGGAATCATTTAAGCGATCCCGGCCTCATCATTGGTAATTGTGGGCTCACCGAAGGCACCGCATCGAGTGGGATGTGGCGATGATGACTACGACGCCGAACAAGAAGGTTGCAGCTTCCTTGCACGTGGCATAATGTGGCATATTGTGGGATACTGAAAACAGGGGTCTTCTGCGCAGCTTTCGGGGTGCTGCTTGAGGATAGCTTGCTGCTGAACTATACAGGCTTTCGGCCGGAGGTACCTTTTCGAGGTCTTGGAACGCTCCGCTTCGTCCAGCACTTGAGTATGATCGAAGCTTGCAGCGGTTGACATGAACAAATTTTCCGTCCATGGGCGTTGGGTGTGGCTTTTCAGGCAGCATTTAGGGTCCAGTTTGAGGGTGTGCATTTTGGGTTTTAGAGGTCCTTGAGGCCCGGGGTTTCACGGCAAATTGGCTGGGTTCTCAAGTCCCGCCCGCAAGGACGAACCCCAAGATAAGCTCGCTATGGACGACGGGTTGATGGTCCAGAAGGCTTGTGGAGTGTTCCGTGGGGAAAGCGCTGTTGATGTTGTGGGTTTGGGATCGGCTGGGTGAAGGGAGGATTGGGTGCTTGCCATTGTTGTGTAGGTGCCCTGCCGTAGCTCGAGAGTATGTAGAGAGAACTCAGAGGCCGAGAGAGAGACATGGGGTGCCTTGCTCTTCAGAGGTCAATAGCCGTCTCCTAACCTGAGGAGCAGTACTGCGACAGTTCTGAAGCGCCATCAACCTGAATTGCCGTGGCGAAGGCGCTTTGGTGTTCATGCCGTCCGCTGGAAACACGCCCTGTGCAGGTCAATACCGTGGCCACGACAGCAAGCAGCGAGAGTGACTCTTGCCCTCAACAGAAGGTAGTTGGCTGATGCCACTGCTGCTGCCGCCGCTGCCGCTGCCGCTGCCGCTGCCGCTGCTGCTGCTGCTGCATGTTTGGGATCTTGAATTATGGTGAGTTTCAGGTCCTTGGGCAGGCCCTGGTCAGTTGCCGTTTGGCAAACATGGGAAGTTGGGTTTTCTTGAAGTTAGGACCACCCTGGCCCGCAATGTGCCCCAACTGTCCAGCTTTGGCGCCGCCCTCAGAAGTAGGGGTTGGGCATCTCAGTGAAAACCCTGAACCCTGAACCCCACACCCGGATTAGCCAGCCGCCTCAACAAACCCTGCTTGTAGCCTGAACAATGCGAACCCTTCCGCCTTTCTGTCATGTATATCAGACTCTGCCCATTTGCTCGAAGCCGTTGATACAGACAAGAGGAACAGAAGGAGTACAACGAAAAGGCGCGCCGAGTGTCTTGGCACTCGCATTCGCGAGTGGAGGATCGGGTGGGAACGGGTGGGATCGTGTGGGCTCCGTGCTAAGTACTTGTATCTCTCAGTAATTTGGATTCATGGCTTTGGACTGCTTTAGACCAGGGGAGTCGGCATGGTGGTACTCACAGATATCCCGATCTTGTTCCCTTCTGTTGCATCGCTGCTTTCGCTCTGCATCCTGCATGGCGAAGCGGCTAATGAAGTGCAGACACAAATTCCTTCGGCCCTAGACTCTGGCATTGTTGGGTTTCCGTGAGGACTACCCGGTCGGCCGGATGATTGAGCCGAATCGAAAGCTTCATGACAAACACGCGCCTCGACTGGCATCAAAGCCTTTGTAAATCTTTGTCAGCTGTTGGTCGAAGGAAGCCCAGACCATAATGCGCTAACTGTCGAGCAGCTGCAGTCCAGATGGAACCGTTGAAGATGGCCAAAAGCGCTGATTTGCTACGTTCATTGTGGAGGGTGCATGTTGCTTGTAGCATCTAAGCGGACACGCTGTAAGACAAGTATCTCGGTTCCCTCTGGCTTTTTTTGTCTCCGGGGGGTTCGCCGTTGTTGCGCCCTCAGAAGCAGTTGTCCTCACGTGAAACACACAAAGATGGGTGGCAACTGCTGGTGGCGGTGATGATGATGGTTCAATGATGATGGTTACGAAGATCTGATGATGCAGGCAAAAGGTTAGGAGTACTGGCGTGGAAAGGGGGATCCTGTGTTCAGCTGGCCACGATGCGTACAGGGCATGCTTGGTTCCGTGGTGCAGCTCGCGACTCGTATAATCTGACTTTGACACCGCCTGGCATGTCAGGTGCGGAGGCTGTGCGCATTTCTCAGCGACGTCGATGCCGCACCCTATATGTTCAAGCGCATGGTCCACTGCAAAAGACTGCATGACTTTGGAGACTCGAACATTTTAGATGACGAGGTGGCTCGGCAGCAGCATGTCCTTGCGCAAGCAAAAAAACCCGGAGACGTTCACAAGCATTCCCGAGCTCTGGGAGCTCATTTCTACCGAATCAGGGGGAATCTCATGTGCCAAAGTCCAGAGTAGAATAGATTTACGTTGGAATGCACAACGACAGACAAAGACAGACAACGACGCTCACTGACGCTCACAGCACTTCCCTGGCCGCCCTTTTTCCTTCCGAGCCCAGGTCGAACAGCACACTGTCTAAGTTGATGATGACAACTTGGCCTGAGCCGACCCTGCAACTCATGCGGCTCCTGCTTCGTGCGCTTGTGCACTTTGCCCTTCCGCGTAAGGAGGTTAGGGATGTTTGGGGTCTTGAACTGAGATTTTGTGTGAGGGTCTGCATAGGGACTGCTGTATCTCCCAGCAGTGGATGATGGTGGCAGCCCTTGCAGCGGTCTTTTCAACAAACATCGGCAATCGATGGGTCCTTCGAATCAGAACCCCCCAGGAGGTAAACGAGACTGGGGGCG